GAGAAGTCTTCTCACTTCGCCTTATCTCCTGTCTGTGGTTGTGATGAATGAGGAAGGGAAGAAGGGAGAAGCTGCGTGGAGAAGCGATGAAGGGGAGAAGGGAGAAGGGTGGTGACGAGAAGAGAAGGGAGAAGGGAGCTGCTGGGAGGAGGAGGGGGAAAGGAGAGCTGGTGGACGGAGGAGGCGGAGAAGGTTGGAGAGGGGGAAAAGGTTGGTTGGAGAGAGGAAGAGGAGAGGAAGAAGGCTTGTGTAGAGAAGGAGGAGGGGAGAAGCTGGTGGAGAAGGTCGAGCGGGGAGAAGCTGGCGTGAGAGAAGGAGGAAGGGTAGAGAAGGGAGTCTGTGGAAGGGGAAGGGGAGAGAAGGGAGAGCTGGTGGAGAGGAGGAAGGGGCAGAAGCTGCGTAGAGAAGGGAGCGGGAGGGGAGAGGAAAGCTGAGTGGAGAGGAGAAGCTACGATCAGCTTCTCCTCTCTTCTCCACCAGCTTCTCCCTTTCTCCCCTTCCTCACCAGCTCCCTTCTCTGCCCTCTTCTCACAGTTCGCCCCTCCTCCTCCACAGCTTTCATCCTCCTTCTCACCACCTCTCTCTTTCCTTCCTTTCCTTTCCACCAGTTCTCCCTTCTCCCCTTCTCCTTTCCACCAGCTTCTCCCTCCTCCTTCTCACCACTTCTCCTTCTCCCCTCTCCTTCCTTCACAGCTTCTCCTCTCCACACCTTTCTTTCTTTCCCGCCTCACCAGCTCCTTCTCCCACTCCTTATCCCCTATCTCTCTTTCCCCTCTCCAGCCAGTCCATTCTCGCCCTCTCTCTTCTACTCTTCTCACGTTCTCTCCCTCTCCACCACTTCTCCCTTCTCCCCTCCTTCTCCACAGCTTCTCCCTCCCTTCTTCCACCACCTTCTCCTTCTCCCCTGCTCCTTCCACCAGCTTCTCCCTTTCACCTCCTCATTAGCTCCCTTCTCCCGGCTCCTTTTGCCTCCTTCTTACAGCTGTTCCTTCCTCCTTCCCTACCAGTTTCTCCTCCTCACCAACTTCTCCCTATTCTCCCCCTCTTCCTTCTCCCAGCTTCTCCTTCCACCGCCTTCTCTCTTTCCATCTCTCCACCAGCATCTCCTCCTCCTTCTCCAACACCTCCTTCTCCCCCTCCTCCTTCCCACAGATTCTCCTCCTCCTTTCCACACCTTCTTCTTCTCTCTCCTTCTCCACAGCTATCTCTCCTCCTCCTTCTCAACCCTTCTCTTCTCCCCTCCTTTTCTCACCAGTCTCCCCTCCTCCTTCTCCACCACCTTCTCCCTTCTCCTTCCTCCTTATCACAAGCTTTCCCCCCCCTCCCCCACCTTCTCTTTCTCCCACCTCCATCACCAGATAGCCTTCTCACCTTCTTATCCCTTCGCTCCCTTTCTCATCCTCCTCCACCAGCCTCCCTTTTCTCTTCCTTTCTCCACAGTTTTCTCCCTCCTCAGCACTTCTCCCCTTGCTGCGCCGGTGTAGCTCACCACTTCTCCCTTCTCCCCTCCTCCACGCACTTCTTCATCTCCCTCTCCTCTCCACGCTCCCCGCCTCTTCGCCCCAACTTCTTCCCTTCTCCCTCCTCTTTCTCCACCGTTCTCTCTTCTCCCTGCTTCTCTCAACCAGCCTCCTTCTCCCCCTCTTTCTCTCTTTTCTCTTTCTCCACCAGCTTCTCCCCTCCTGCCTTCTCACTTTCTTACTCCCCCTCCTCCACACCTTCTTCTATTCTCCTCCTCTTCTCCCACTTCTCCCTCTATCTCCACCACATCTCTTCTCCCCTTCCTTCCTTCCTCCCAACTCCCCTGCCTTCCACCGCTTCTCTCCACTTCCTCCTTCGTCACCTTCTCCTTCTCCATCCAGACTTCTCGCCTTTCCCTGTTCGATCCTCATTCCGTAGCCATATTGAGTCGGCATACAGCCGCGTGCGGATATAGCATATTGTAATGGCTTATCACTAGACTGGTCGCCGTGAGCGGTATAGCATTTGAAGCTCGGGCACCAGCGGGCCGGCAGGCTTTCATTTTTAAGGGGCGCAGAGTCGTGGTTGCGTCCGCGCATCACACGCGCACAAGCCGAAATTGTGCATGGTGCGCGACGAATTATCGCGCCCTCATAGAAGTCGCGTTTGAAACTTGCAGCACCAAAAGTATGTCTATTAGTTGGAATAGCGGCTCCTACCAGTTCTCAATGTAGGTGGGGCTATCAAAAAGGTTAGCAACGACCAATTTTGTGGGTGTGCGCCAGGTCTGGAGGGAGTTTTCCGCACCGTCTCTTCCGCTCCGTTTGTACAGTAACTGAACATGGGAGGTACAGGTCTCGAGTATAGCCTACCCTCTGGTTTAATATCTATTAGTACTATAAAAATCCAAACCGTCCAGCTCACATCAACTCAGCATTCAGGTCCAAATACAGGGTACTTACCTGGTAGCACAAGTTACCTTGGCTCGTTTCTACCATAAACGTGGACGAGAAAGTGGTTTCTAGCGCGGTCGAAAAATCAGTGTAGTGGATCTGCAGACCCGGGCCCGGCTCTACGTGTGCTTACTACGTACAGTCATTTGGTAGTTATGTTGCTTCGAGGATGCTAGTATGGAGTGAATATTTTGGTGCTGAAATATGCAGGCTAGATGGATTAGAAATCTCTAACGTGCAAATCAGAATAAATAAAACAAGTTTTATTTTTTATCGGATCAACTCTTTTATTACTCTGCGGTGCTGTGTTGGGTTGTTGGATGAAAAAGAAAAAGTATCCCTGACGGTGAAGTGAATGATAATCAGTAAGATTTTTAATTTGACAGGGACATCCAATTTCGTTTTTGGATTTCACTCTTAGACTGAAGGATTGGTAATGGAATTCCATCATCACACCCCAAGAGCATGAATGGAGAGCCTCAGGAGCTCTCATTCATCCCTTTAAAGGTGTGATTTTTAGTGGAAGCTCTTCATAAGGGTGTGATTTTTTAGTGCGAGCTCTACCATCATGCCTCTTAAGGGTGCTGATTCAGTAGGAGCGATGAAAAGTCCTATGGATGTCCTAGGGGAGTCATTAGTAGATCCTCTGTACTTTCAATCCTGAAAGCCTGCGCCGCCGTTGCAGTCACATAGCTCATATTGAATCTGGCCACACGGCCGCGACAATCCGTAGTCGCGTAATTACAGTCACTTCTTTCGGGCTGTAAGAGCGTCCTAGCTCTACGCAATGACTCATGTTGCAATCGGCTCATCCCCACATGTCCATACATCAGTACAATCAACATACACACTAACTGTATATCATTACAATAATGATGGCAGGGCTGGCGAAATTAAACGGCGAGTCATTCAATAGCTGCCCTGGATTTACTGTCGTTACTTCGCGTTGGATTTGACCATGCAGGGCATTGGCAGGTCGCCGTGCTGAGCTCTGCACTTCTGCGATTATATATAACCTACTGGTTGGTATTCCAAGAGACTCTCCCGGCCTCACGGCCTAACCATATTACCGTATTTTCTCTCAGTCTACGATGGTTCACAAGAAAAATGTCTTGGGCACACGCTGCAACGCTCCGACAGATGAATGTTAAAAATAATTCAGATTGCATTATGTTAATATTTTATTAGTTGAACTAGACTGTGGCGGACTCTCCCTCTTTTGTGAGGGTAGGGAGTTCCGGTTTTGGATAGTTCCTCGTGTGGCACGTTAATAAGTGTATTTTACCTCTGAGATAGTGTAGTCTGTAGTGTATGTTATGTGCTTCCTTCGCAAGCTTGCCAATATAAGCTACTCAGTCTTTTAGGCCCATGGCAATGACAACGTATGAGGCTTTACAAAATTAAAGATATTAACAATAATGCATCTGCTTATTTTTAACATTCATGCGGTTGCACGTGTGCCAAAATTTTCTTTGGACATTAGCTGAAAAAATACGGTAATTCCGTGAGGCCATGCTCCGGAATAAACTAGGTAGTTAGTATATAGCAGAATTTTCAGGGAGTCACACGGACTCCTGGCCCTGCATGTCAAATCAAGGAGTCCGACAGTAAATCAGGAAGTATTTGACTCCCGTTAATTTCGCACCCTGCCATCTTATTTGTAATATATACATTGTGTATTGTGTATTGTGTATTGTGTAGACATGTGGGATTGACATTCAACATTGTCTTCTAGTTCTAGACTAGGACCTAAAACCGTGACGTCGCCGTGACCATACAACAACGAATGAACTATGCTAATATAGCTATTCTACCTATCAAGAACAATGATTACCTAGACCACAACGGCCTAATGGTATAGCCTTTAGTTGTATAGGTGAAGGTCTTTTGAACCCAGCAGTTCTCAGTCCATTCTGTACAGAACCAGATAGTAGAAGTCCAGCGAAATCGACATGTTCGGTAATGTGTATGTCGTTCGTACGAACTTTCTTTCCAATGTTATGCGCAATTACTTTAGTATCCATTGGATAGCTTCGAAGCATTAACACCGTCACTACAACAAAGTTATGATAAACACTATATTTTTCTACAAGCTTCAGCCTTAGTTACGTAAAATGAACTTCTGTAGCACTTATTTTGCAAAATCGGTTTAACGGCAACCATACGCATGCCTGACGACCATATTGATATGTAGACTGGTACCCTAGATTAAACAAACTATATCCGTACCAACCAAATGTAGAAACCGTTCCCAGTCTATGTTGGTAAACAGATAAATTAATATCGTACTCTCATTCTCAATATATATATATACAAATGCAGTATCATAATTTAACAATAAAGAACTATAATTTGTTTCGCAATGTAATAAAATTAGGCACGGGGATTGGAACTCTCCAAAATAACTCCTGTTGATTTGCATAAATCTTTAGCGTAGAATGGGCTACCAATGAGAAATTATTTCTAACCTTAGTATCGTAAGGGCGCTACAGTCGAGATTGTTTTTTAACGATGCAAATGTACAACGTTGCGTGTTGTGCGGTGTCTTCCGAGTTCTGAGAGTGTGGACGCATCTAGGAACCAATTTTGTTCCCTTGGTTGTTTAGTTATCCTCGCCGGTAAATGCTTCGGTGAAAATAGCGTAGAAGTTGAAAATTCAAAGCAAAATGCGAATAGGATTTATAGGAGCTGGGAAAGTAGCGCAGGCTATAACGAAGGGCTTGATAGACTCAGGTAAAATAGTTGTGACTTGTGCTAGTTAGCTAAGTTTGGTATCGCCGTATATGGTTGTCGTAGTGTGCTAAACTAATCCGGGGTAGATATCAATTATAACTTTATTATATGTATATATAACATAATATATATTTGTTATAACATCGGGCACGTGATCTATATAGCCCTTTGCTCTGCCACACTCGGCTAGTAGGGTATACTGCCTATAGCACAAAATATGTTGAATATGGGCAACAAAACTGCGCCCTCTGTTCCCACCAGGAACGGCTTACAGAACGCAAAATGATGGGGCTTCTATATAATATAGTTCTAAAGCTAGCGATCTACAACACAAAACTACAACACAAAACTATCCCACCTCCACATCCGTCTATATGCTCAGTGTTGTACTTTGGTTGGATTGTAGTTTTTAGGTCCACACAATGATTGTGTGGATTTTTTTTAGCCAATTCAAATTTTCTCTAGCCAAATCATGTATTTCGTTTTCTTCGTGTATATAGAAGTGACAGGTCTTTAATGGTGATGATGCAGTATAATGCCAGTATTCAGAACAGAGTCAAATATGTTGTGGATATTGTTTATAGTTAACAATCGGAACATATTCATTTCGATTCTACAGTAAGTACACGTGAACATAAAAGTACAAAGAACCCCCAAAACACCTGTAGACTCAACTTCAAGAATTTGTGTTACAATAAATATACAAACTATACTGTTAACCATGCAAATACTACTGTGAACTCTTTGTGTGCCTAAAGTAAAGATACATTTTATTGTTACATTCTACTTTCATTTGTGACTCTAATTCAGAGCACTCGTTTACATGTAGAAACTAGGGTCTGATCAGGTTGTAAAAATCGGGTGCTTGGCAGCCTGGATCAGATTGGTATTGGAAGCAATGCCTGTGCCTGGGGACAAAAGTTGACTGGGCCATGCGCATTGCTCCCCATCAACATTACTGCAAAGTCGTACTGATTACTAACTGCTGAATGACCTTACAAAATCAATTTCTGCATACGTGCCTACCAAGTCCCAGGCCTATTCACACACCCTATGCTCCATAAACAATACTGCTACTGCTGATCGTTTTTCTATGTGGAGATCATGCCATACTTACAGTAATATTGTTACTGTGGCACAAGAGTACCAAATCCAGTTGACTCCCACATTTTAAGTCCCCACCCTGAATTGAAAGATGGCTTGTCGGCCTTTAGGATTAATTGCTTGCAGTCAATTATGCTCAGAGAAAGTCAAATGTACATGTCATGCCATCCACTGCCAATCACACCAGCACAGGAAAAGAATGTAATGACAAGACGTGACAGGAGTATGACCCTCATGCTGTCATGGGCCCACATGTACTTTTAGGTAAGCGTGAAGAAGCAAGGTCATTCGTGAATGTCAGCATAGAAATGCATGATATCGAATGAAATCTTGCTCAGAGATAACAGGATTGTTATGTCTAGTGCATTGCAAAGCCAAGTAGCAAAACTTGCTCACATTAGCCACTGAGGAGTAGTCAAAACAAAAATCTTGCCAAAAAGCAAAGTATTGTTTTCAGGGATAGACAAAATGGTCGAAGCAGAGGTTAAACATTGTCTCCCTTGACATGTAACTTGTAAGCACCAGAAAGAAATACAAGAGAACCATTGAAGAGAGCAAATGCCATAAGCAACCGTAAACTCATGTCTGCCGATTTTTGTGGTCCACTACATTTCCGTTAGTGAGTAGTTGATATTCAGCTATAGAAGTCACCCACAGCACATCAGCCAGGTCAACAATTCCTTAGTTCGACAACATATTTGCCCCGCATGGTACTTCTCAAGTGCTGAAAACAGGGGATGCTCCTCCTTTCAATGATAGTGATTTTTGTTACTTTGCTAGTTATCTCAGATTCCAAGACAGTGAGGTGACACCAGAGTGGCCTGAGGTCAATGGCTAGGCAGAATGCTTCATGAGGATGCTAAAGAAGAATCTTCACACCTCAGAGTCTGAAAAGAAACCCATGGGAGTATGAGATAGGGAAATTCCTTAGGCAGTACAGAGCTACCCATACTCTTCAACAAAATTGTCACCTGCAGAAGATCACTTTAACAGAAAGGTAAGGGCTGAAATACCCAGGATTCAAACTTGCTCTGAAGAAGGTATTCGTGAAAACTCATGCTCAGTGACAAAAGAGCAAAGGATAAAATGCAGAGAGATGCTGGCAAATAGCGAAGAGTATGCAAGTCAGGATCCGTACCCATGCAAGCTAGATCTAATCTTCTAACACTCCACTTTAAGCTACATGAAGTAGTGCAAAGCAAACGTAATGTAGGCACTGCTGTGCATGGTTCGAAACCAGTCACCAGGAACAGATGCAGGTTCAAAGCAGTGCATGTCTAATACCAACCACGCAACAATGTTCAGTTCAAAGAGTGAATGCAAAATTAATCTGGAATTATTCAGGAGTAGAAATTAACTTTTGAACACGGGAGTCTAACGGACTCCCTACCCTCAAAAAGAGGGAGTCCGCAGCAAAATGAGGGAGTCCGCAGTCTGAGGTTCAAAATTAAAGATATTAACAGTAACGCATGTTCTTATTTTTAAGATTCATGCAGTTGCACGTCTGCCAAATTTTCTTTGGACATTAGCTGAAAAAATACGGTAACTCCACAAGGCTGTGCTCCGGAACGAACTAGTTAATATGGCAGAATTTTCAGGAGGTCACACGGACTCCTGCATATATGTCAAATCAGGGAGTCCGACAGTAAATCAGGTAGTATTTGACTCCGGACTCCCGTTAATTTCGCACCCTGGGTTCTGCTGAATGATAATGGCAGGTGTGCTGCTCAGAGTGATGAGAAACGTAGGGCCTGGTCAGAACAGAACTATGGATAAGAAGCATCACAGTCCTCCAAAGTAGGACCCAGTGAAAGAATGCCCCCAGCCATGTAAAAAGAAATGTGTTGTATCTTAATGTGGACCTATGTGTGCAGCCCGGGTAATGTATGTATTGATCAATGGCTGAGCATGATCTTGTCTGAGTAGTATGGATTTTGATATTACTATTTCAGTCGTAGATATTTTCCGTGTATATTGGTATTCAGTATTCACATTCATCTGTAACAGGTGTGGTATAGTTACTTGTATGGTTTGCCAAAGCTGGTTTGTTTTGTTACATGCATTAAAATGTGACTCAAGCATTAGTAGACATAATATTATACCAGTCCACATTTATTTGCCAAATGATTCAAACGCCTGCCTGACTTGCCTACTTTTATTTTTAAATACTTTGTCCCAATAACACACTAATTGTTGCTACTAACAAAAGCAATTATACTAACGGTTGCAGACTATGTTCTATGGGAAATTTTATCAAAATGGTAATAACCATTCATTTTTAGCTCAGCTGACGAAATCAGATGCAGCTTGTAGAATCGCATGATTGTCCGTCCGTCCGTTTGTCCGTGCGTCCATCAACAGTTGGGCCCAAATCTTAACCGCTCGACGTACGGTCTTGATATTCGGGACGTCGGGATGGCGAATTTGGGGGTCAAGAGTCAAAGGTCAAGATGTGTCAATGGAGGGGGAATATTTCCCCCTTAACTTAAGGTATAGGAGGAAATACAGAATTGCGGCAAAAATCTCAACGGCTCGACCTACGCTCTTAATATTTGATGTATAGTGTGATGGAGAGGAAACCCATCACCAGCGCGAAATTGGAGGTCACAGGTCAAAGGGCAGTGGGGAAAGGTCAGATATCAGACGTTTTCTGAGGACATGGTCTAACGGACCGAGTGCAAAACTTTTTTGTTTCAGCGCTGACCTACCATTTTTATCACTTTATTGAAAGGACCATCCGAATTGAAAGGAAATCTACTTTCCGATGACGTGCGAAGAGTAAGTGTCTGATAAGCTTTTGACCCACAAGAGGAGGGTTAAACATGGATTTGTTGACTGTTAACAAAGGACTGAACTGCTTTTGCTATTAGAGCCCCCTCCACCCGCCCCTCTCCCCACTCTCCCTCACCACCACTACGCTCGAGCTCCACACATATTCATGATAACATGTTAATATAGTGAAGTCAATCAAGTTACACAGCTGTATCTTTATTACTGTACTACCAGTAGGTATAGCAAAACCTATCATAGATTTTAGATCTGTATTAGTAGTATCCTAGATATATGCTCTGAGCGCGAACGCGGTGGCAGGAGGGCGCACTTGATTCGGTTGCCAGTGAGTTTATCAGAAGAATACCTGGCTACAGTACACGTCAGTTGAGCGCTGTCGTTCTGCAGCACTTGTTTAGTTGACACATCTGTGCAGCTATGTATGTGTATATTATCAGGAGTAGATAATAGAAGATCTTCAGTAGATAGATAGGTAAGATAGGTAATCTTCTATTATCTACTCCTGATATTATGTTTATGTATGGATAATGCTGGCAAAGCGTTCAAAATAATTCTGCATATATGGCTGCAGAGCTTTCTGTGGCTTTTTAACTATGCAACTATTGCTGACTTCAATAGTGGGCGTAAGTCCAGAATGCACTTACTGCGACTCCTTGCAGTCTCTCTAATTTAAAATAGGTTCTTAAAACGTTTTTTTTCAATTGGGGCAAAAAACAGCAAACATTTATTCTTAACAGAAAAAAAGTAAAATAGGGAACTAAAGTAAGTAGAGCCTACTAAAGACACCAATTATTTAGAATATGTGAATTATTTGAATAAATACGTGGAGTGAGTAGCTACAGGCATTTGTTTTAAGAGTGTGCATACTAACTTGTGTGTGGTTTTTGTGCTTGGTATAGAATTGAAACAGGCCAGATTTTTTATTAGTTTATTTATAACAGCAAGATTTGTTGCAGTTTTCTGTAAATCGCCACTAAAGATGCACCACAGTAAATATTAACATTTTATTTCCTTGTCCATTTTGAATGCAGCCGTGAAATTGTAGTGATAATGATATATATGGAAAATTACATATATATACTTTTGTTGTTTTGGTGCTGTTGCCGATGTTTTAATGAATATTTTTTAGGAACTCGCCGCCTATTTCGATTAACTTGGTTCTGTTTTAATGCCAACAAATTATTAACGGATCTCTATTTGTTATTAAATTTTGTTTTTAATGTATTTTGGTTTTTTACTTTCATCAAAATATGACTAAGATTTTAGAATGTCTTTATCATTAATTTCCTTGAAACCAGGCAAAATCACAAAAATCCAGACACTGGTTTATACTTTATAGTGCACACTATTAACAACTTGTAGACACATGTTCAACCCCTTGCAGTTACAAAGCTGTGTTCTGAATAGAGATGAATACATTTTGGTTATTTTCATGTTATGCATGGAGTGACATCTGTGCTATTGAACAGATTTGGGTTTGATTGGATTCAATGAGCAATTTTAAAGTTATATTACCTTGCCAGGTGGTACCTATTCATATCCCCAAGTGTAACCTCAAGCTTTTCTAAACCCACTCTATGGTGCCTACTTCTGTTTCTGTCTTTCAAATGAACAGCATCTATATGCTACACTGCCAAAGACTACTGCAGTGGAGCACAGAAGCTATCAATAGTGTAATATTCTTAAATCCTATTCCAATATTTACGTTGCACATTGAAACAAATTTTATCACTGAGATGGTGATAGAATTATATATTCCGGTTAGCTGCGCATGAACTTTGTCATGCTGAGTCAGCTTACATAGGTGCCATTGACATGTGTCATGTACACAGCTCTGGCCAGGGGGAATATTGGTGTACAGTTAACATTATCTAGAGATGGGCTTTTCAGTGATAAATGATTGAGTAATGCTATCAACCGAAGACATGAGTATCCCAGACTGTTTTTTTAGGAGACATGAGAATATAAGATGCAAAGAATTTCACTTAATCCTTTCCTAGCTGAAATGCTGCTGGCCTTAATACAAACATTGCTCGAACCTCTTATATAACTTTTAACTCGAGTCATCCCCCTTGCTTACTAGAAACAGTGAGATGATATGCTATATAACTGCTTGTTCCTGTTACCTTGCTGAGCTGCAGTAAACGTTTCTAAACGTTTCTTGATGTTTATCAAGTTCATGGCAACATGAAATCAATGAAAATTAAATGAACATTTGAATTTTCAAAGTAACAGATTTTACTCTTTCCTTAGGTATTACAGCTGCTGAGAATATTATAGCAAGTTCACCAAAACAAGATCATTTACTCCTAACACAGATTTCGGTAAGTATTTCTTCTTCTGTAAATATGTGCATGTAAAAAAATCAAGAGTGCTATTTGTAACTAAAGTGGTGTTACTGCGTGTGAGTGATGTATGGCAGCGACAAATGATCTTGTAAAGTGTGAAACATAAATGTGTTTATTCTGCAGTAGGATACAAACGGATATACACGATTTCGTCCTACTTTTATGCATTTCATGTATTACTCTATGACGTTATGGCTAGTTTACATTAAGTCTGCCTAATGGTGATGGCTTAAAATGGTCATACTATGAGAGCCTTTTTAACATAAGACCCTGTACCAATGATTACTTGTATGGCATTTACTTACAGAAACTTGGTGTGGGTACTACATTCAATAACAAGACCGTGGTGAAGGAAAGTGATGTGGTTGTTGTGTGCACCAAACCAAACGTTGTCTCTAGGGTTCTTACAGAGTTCTCATCGGACGTTAGTAAATCACACCTCATCATTTCCGTAGCACTTGGAGTAACGACCAAAACGATGGAAAAGGTGAGCTTTGTTCACTTAAGACAAGTAGTATAAGACCTGCTTAAGTGTTGCATTATCCAGCTGGAGTTTGCTTAGCTGCATTAATTCTGGGTATTTCAGACAATTTGCCTGTGGCAGTAGGACATGTCTGCTTGGACCATGTGCTTATCTTTTATATCCAAAGGGGAGCTGTATAGCTGATGGCTGCCTCCTTAAAGTCCACGGGTATGTTTTGGCGTTAAGGTGGCGATTCACAATGGCGGTGGTGGATTCCACTGCAATTATTTCGGTTGCATTCAGCTTGGGTGTTGTTTTCAGCTAATGTGCAGGGTTGATGTCAGTGTGTGATATAAACCTGGACACAAGGAGAATGTTCTTCCAAGGACTCTTTAGTTCCAGCCACTTCTTGCTACTGTAGTTCTCTATATTTTACAAAGAGAGATGGGGAGAGAGATAAATAAAGAAAAAAAGGGAAGTGTGATATTAATACTATAAATTAGCGGACAGCCATATGGTTCAAAACCGAGTAAAGTACAAGCACGTGGCAGTCCACTGTGAAATTAATGGTGTGCCACGTAGATGCATGCTTGACTAACCACGTACTAAATACTGATGGCTCTGATAAAAATGACATAATCATCAGTGTACACCTATATTACGTTCCTAGTACATACATTCCATCACAGTTGTTGCGAGGGTGGTAACCACCACACACACTCCAGCAAGGGAGTTTGTGTAGCTGAATAGTAACGGTTGAATCTAACGGTTTAAAAATAGAGATGCTGTAACTGTAAGTATACATTTGAAAGGTAATAAGCAAGCCCTGTCAATCAACGCCTGATTGATGTGGTCGGTTTCGTTTTGCGCTGAACCAGATGAGCAGTGGTTCAAACTTGATTCCTATAATAGAAAACAGAATATAACATAACTGCAGTTAAATTGAGATAAGATGGTGTAAAACAGATTATTCAGTAGTGTACAAAAGGTGACCATATCATATGCATTGGAATTGATAGAACATGTCCTTTCTTTAAACCCATGTACGTGAGAGTTCAAATTTCAAGTATCACCAGCTGACACAGGCAGAACACTGCTTGATACAACACACGTGCACACACATATATATGTATGTAGCAGGGCTGCCAACTCTCACGCATTGACCGTGAGACTCACGCATTTTGACCAAATCTCACGCTCTCACGCTGATCTTACAATATCTCACGCACAGCAAAAAAATGCTGAGATATCTCACGCATGAATATCTCTTCATGAATAAAACGCGGAAATATCTCACGCACAGCAAAAAAAATCTTACAATATCTGAAAACAGTCACTTTAGTATGCACCAAATTGCACAAATTGAAGTTATAAAATGCAAAAGCTCCCTACCGTGGGAGGGGGAAAACTCCCCTCCCACGCCCACCCCCGCTTGGTCGCTTCGCTCCCTCGCATCTCACTCTCACCTATCACCCAATGTTGGCAGCCCTGATGTAGCTATGTGCCTGGCTATATGTTATGATTTGTCCATAATGTTGCTATTAAAACAATGTTTTGTAAATGCTTGATGGCAGTTTAAATTTTGTATTTTGCAGTGCGTCTTCCATCTGCTACTGGGCATTTCTGTTACTAACCACATTTATTTTGTGTCACTACAGGCGCTTCCCAAGAACACCAGAGTGGTAAGGGTAATGCCCAACACTCCAGCTTTGGTACGAATGAGTGCATCCGTCTATTGCATGGGAAGCTCTGTTATAGAGACAGATGCTGAGACTGTTTCCAAACTACTTACCAGCTTTGGCAAGTCCAAATAACATTATTTTTCTACAGAACTAAGCTAACAAAAAATTAAACCATTTTTGTTCGGTGTTATTTTTTAATCTATAATGAATCTATTATCCATCTTCTTGTTATTTTTTGTGATATGATTCTTGTTTTATTACTGTTATTATGTTATATCGGCTTTAGTTGAAGAAATCTGACTGGCAAATTTACATGTTGGATTCTTGCCTTTCTTTAAAATTTTGGCCCAGATTAAATAGTTTCAGGCAAACTGATATTCTAGTTACACCTGGTGATATAAATTGGCCATTTTAAAGCATTTTTATTGATGTGTGGTGCAAAATAGTATTTTGCAATATATAAGCCGTCTAATGCAATAACACCAATATAGCCCTCATTAGTGATATGAATTATATCAAAACGATTTAAAAAACTTTGTTGCACAGAAATTAGCTTAAAATCTTGCTATGTGTGCTTTTAAAATGAGATAAAGTGACTCAAGCCTTTATTGATAGCTAAATTTTAGTATGTTGAAAATGTTTAAATAATTGACTAATGGGTGGGCACCTAAATCTGTGACTTTTAGATGTTATGTATGGAAAGCCATCCCCTTCAAAAATCATTTTCAAACATTTCAAATACACAATTTTAAATTAATTTAAAACATTTCAAATTAATTAATACAAATAAAAATTACTTTATATTGTTCAAGAAATTTAAATTCCAAATTTAAAATCAATTCACAGAATAACAAATCAATTTATTAACTTGCAAATTAATTCACAACTTTCCAAAATAATTGCCTGATGTACAAATTCCTTTACATCATTGTAAAAATTCATTTTCTAAATGTACAATTTATTTTCAAAATAACAAACCAATTTACTAACTTGCAATTTAATTGAGATTGTTACATAAACTCACAAATGTTCAAATATTGCTTAATTACCCTAACAATTGAAAATTATAAGTTTTAAATTAATTTACAGAGTAACGAATCAGTTCACCGAGTTTGAAATTAATTTATTACTGTCAACATTAATCACCAGAAATGCGAATCTATCTGTTGGTTTCAGAATTATTAGGTAACAAACGACAAATGTATAGCTTAAATTACAAATTAATCATACAGCTTTCAAAACATATATATAAACGTTTACAATCAAAGAGCTCATTTAACAATAAATTTATGCAACTTCCAATCTATTCAAGACCTCTGAAATCACTTACTAACTTTTACAATTTGCCGCGCACTCTGTTGTTTCCTGTCCGTGTGCAAAACTATTCAGGAAACTTCGAATCAATTCATTGAACACAAGGTATTTGTCTTGTTTGCCGTTGCGTTCTGGAAATCTGATTGGCTGGTAAAAATACTTTTCAATGCAATCGTCTATAAAAGAATTTAGCGAAAGTGCAGTCAGTGACAGAACTAATGTACTTTCGCAAAATTGAGGTTTATATGATTGAACATAGTTAGTAGAGGGAGTCTCCCTCTACGACCTATAATCTGAAGAGACAGGATCCCGCCCGACACACGAACAAAGCCTTTCCACGGAGAATAGCGAGAGTGAACAACGTCCATAGTGATGTTTCGTGTCCGCTTTTACGTTGAGATCTATATCTATCCTACATGCGAGCATGGTGTTTGGTGCATGGTTATATCTTTGCAGTTTTCAATCTAACTGTTTCAGTGTTTTGCGTATAGATGCACACGACGTGAATTATAACTTATAACGACACAAACGATAACAGGATTGTACGATACGTAACTATTCCTGCCCGTCACGTAGTAATTCTATACATAATCTGTTAAATGTACGCGTGATCTAGATAACAATTTTATAATTTATGAATGAATAAACCCATACCCCGTTTTATTATTTCGTAGTGAAGTTATCGAAATACATGATCTATTCATGTATATTATGTAATACACTATATAAGTATATACACACAAGATATATTTGTGCAACTTTACAACAGACCGTATTACACGTGTACAATCATGCGCACTCAAACATACCCTTTGTAGAACCAAGAGCAAAAATATCCCTAAAGAACATGCGCGCTCGTTTTTGCGGACAAGGGTGGGTGCCCAAGAGATATTGATAGAGATTTTTGGGATGGTGGAGAGCTTGACAAACACTTGATAACCGATAAGCGATTTTGAATCAATTATAATCAGTTTGGTGAGAGGAATAATAATAAAATATTTAAACAACATTAAACATTAAAAAAACATTTAAATAATATACAACTGACGAGTGGTGAGATAACGACACCCCATCCCCCTAACACCCGACATAGTTACTAGGTCAGTTATGCGTTCACATGTGTTTCACGACTGTATTTCACCAATGTTTTAATATTTAATTAAATAACTCCATTACGTCGAGAAAGGGTTTCACGCAGACGACTGAATAATGAGAATACCGCGTGCCGCATGCATCTTTCTGTGTTAGCAATGTGTAGACAGGTAGAGAGAGACCACTGTGATCCCTGGACGCACAGGGATCCTTTTTGCTCTTGGTTCTACAAAGGGTATGTTTGAGTGCGAATGATTGTATACGTGGAATACGGTCTGCTGTAAGGTTGCACAAATTAATATATCTTGTGCAGGCCCGTAGCCAGGGGGGTTTCGGGGGTTCGAACGAACCCCCCCCAAGCCCTCCCCCCAAGCCAAAAAAATGTAAATTTTTTTTTTTGAAAATTTGCAAGAATTTCACCTCAGGTCGCTCCATTT